ACACATTTGGTTATGCATAAATACATCTTAATTTTGATGTCTTAGAGGCCTACCTGCTCTTGACTATGCACTAAAGCCGTTCAAACACGAAGATCGACTCTCCAAAAATCGGGAAAAAGGCGCGATGCTCCATACTGTGGCCAGCCAACGAAAGCCAAACGGGCAACCCAGGCCCCATGACCGTTGATTGTCCGTATGGAGCATTGCGCCTTTTTCCCGATTTTTGGAGAGTCGATCTTCGTGTTTGAACGGCTTTAGTGCATAGTCAAGAGCAGGTAGGCCTCTAAGACATCAAAATTAAGATGTATTTATCCATCCATTTCAGTCCTCATGTGCATTCTTCATCTTCCAACGGCTTTCATCACTCTTATTTTCTCTCCTTTTCCGCTGTGCTCCACAACTACGTGCAGTAGATTTAATATCTATTACTACCGTTTACTCTAGGTTTTCTCATATAATACCATATGCATATGCCTCTCGGATGCAAGATGTAATCTTATTTCCAGTCAGGACGATCGATCCACAATGATCTTGATGAACATCACATCGTCCCGTATATAGGCGTGCCTTTGTAACTCGCTATGTGGACAAAACATCGGGCAGCCCGATGCGATGTTCATGGCTCCCCTCCGAGTTTTTCTCTCAATCATTTTCTAAGTATCTTTCCTATCTTTTGACCGAGTAGATCTTTGCCGTTTTGCAGATCGATGCAGTTGACGACGTACTAGCGTAAATTAGCGTATAGATAGCTTACTTATAAGTTGAAGTTTATAATTGATGAAGATTCTCGATACCAAAACTACGCCATACAATTGCTGTAGAATTCAATTCCAATGTGCTCGCTGACAACTATGACCTCTAATTTCGGCAAGATTCAATTCAATTCACAGTTGTGTAAGCCACACTTTGGGGGGGGGGGGAGGTTGAGTTCATTTGAATTAAGGCAACAAAGGACGACATTGAGTTAGAAAATATGCTTTATTGTGGTGTGGTTCTGGCACTAATTCAAACATTTAGTTACTACTAGATTATTCTGAAAATACCAGTTCAGRCAGGAATTAATGGCGTCGCTACTAGGGTAGAAAACAATAGATTAAACAATCAAACTATGCATATATTCAAGGCTAAGCCCGCTTGCAATACAATTTTTAAAATAGTCAATAGAAATGTGTTAATAAAAAGGTAGGCTCACCAGATCATCATATCAAAGAATGTATCTGAACAGCGTCCGTTTTTTACAATTAAGATATCCTTGAATATTTTTATACTATTATTACTAATATTATATATTAGTAAAGTTAGCAAAAATAACATCTAGGAAAATGCTTAATACATGCTTATAATAAGATATCATTCAGAAAATCTGTAAGTGTTTTATTTATGAATGTATTGACCCCATCTACCCCATGATGATCTGGAACGATCTACCCCATGATGATCGCTGGAATTATAGTTGGTATGCATCTGCGAAAGGCATGAAGTGATAGGGCTACATAAGGCTTCTACTGATGAGAGCCCCCGCCTCTGTCGGTACTTGTCTGCATCCTTCCTTGCCTCCTCTTTCCGCGGCTTTCCCCTTCTTTCCTCGCCTTTCCCCACTGTCCTCCGCTAAGTGGTGTATTGCCCGTATCTCGGTGTCTTCTCCATGTGCAGTGGAAATGATATCTATTGCTACCATTCACTCTATTTACCATGCAATACCATGTGCTACTCAGAAACCTTATTTCCAGTCAGGACGATCCACAATGATCTTGATGAACATGACGTCGTCCCTTATATAGGCGTGCCTTTGTAACTCGCTGTGCGGACAAAACAGTGGGCAGCCCGATGCAATATTCATGGCTCCCCTCGGTTTCTGGAATGAGCTGCTACTTGGGTCTGGTCTGAAGGCATCAATCACGTGTTCTTCATTGTCTTGATCCAACAGCATCATTGTWACTTTTTGTCTAAACGGCCATTTTAACAGAGGGTCGTACTCTCCWCGCATGATCACAAAGAACAAGCTGATGTGGGTACCTTTACCCATTCCATCACCATTAAGGTAAATACGGGCACACATCTTGTAYCCATGAGGGTCTGTGTAGAATGGCGGGCTGTAGAACGAGACTTGTCGTCCACTTGTKGCATCAGCACGTYTTCKTGCCACCTGATCGATHTTCCAGACCAAGATACCRTCAGTACTGTTATTAACAACACCGTTCATCTTCTCTTCAAGATCAGCCACAGCCAAATTTCGTATTCCTGCRACRTTTTCTTGCTCTTCCAAACGACGTTGCATCTTCCGTATGGCTTCCTCAGCTTTTTCAGCTTTTACGGTGTTTTTTGTGAGTTCTTGTCGCAGCTCTGCAATAGTGTTGTGTGCTTCATTTAACAAGAATTCCAAGTCTGCAATTTTAGTGTCAGAATCCGCAAGACGACGCAAGAGTTCTTGTGAGKTGGATCCATKTWGYCCACCCTGAACRGTGCTCAAAGATTCACATTTTGTCTCAAGACGTTTGACTTTTTCGTTGATTGGATTGTAAAGACCATCCATTCGTAAACTCAGATGAGATATGATTTCATCACGTACCGATTGTAATATCTGGGGAAGTTTTGCCTTTTTTCCATTTTGTTTTGCTGGAACTAGTTCTTCCAAATACGGCAGAAAGTTGCAGAACATAGTTAGAAGAAGAAGTAGATGTTCCGGGATGCTTTTCTGGAGATGGACTTCACGTTCTTTATGTTTCTTAAGCTAATAAAGAGAGTCAAGAGTTACTCGGTGACAAAGTCAATAGATGATATGATT